TGTAGGAGGGAAATGGAACACTGGGGGCAGTCACACAAGCAAGAAGAAGATCGTTCCATGAAAGAGGCAAAGACCCAGTCAGAGACTCTGAGCAATGGAGGTCATGTTGCTCATCTCTATCAAGGAGGATGGGCACAGCACTAACCAAACACCTAAGCAGAGTTGCGATCACACTTTACACTTTTTCCTCTTTTCCCTTCTAGCGTCCCTTTTAATATGCTGGCATCCAACCTCCACTGCCGAAGTCACCATTGAATCAGTGCCGTCCCCAAGTGGCCGTCAAAGGAGAAAATGTCCTTTTCCTTGTCCATGATCTGCCAGACCATGTTTTATCCCTAACCTGGTTCAAAGGCGAGGCAATAATAGACAATGCAATCGCATTGTATGCAATCGATGGCAATGTACGCACTCGGGCCTTTACACAGTGGTAGAGAGACAATGTACCAAAATGGATCCCTGTGGATTCAAAATGTCACCCAGAATGGCACAGAGTCTATACTCTAGGAATCTTAAGAACACCAACAGAAAATGTATCAACTGCATCACGTACCTTCAAGTGCTCTGTAAGTACTTCTTTGTGAATTATCCTTGCTGGGTGGGGTTCATTCCACCAGTACATACGCAGAAGTGCCAGCCCTGGTAGTACGCACACCTCTCCTGTGCATTGTGCCCCCACGTTGGGGTTTGAGAATGTGTGCAGGACTCACATTGTGGAAAATAACCATAGTACATCAGAATCCTTCATCTGAATTCACCTTGTACCCAGGTGCTCGATGGTGGGTAAAGCAGCCTAGGAGATCACCTCTGTCTAGACTCTCAGATTCTCACCAGGAATGTATTCTTGAGAAAGACCCTGAGGGAATCGACATTGGGTCTGGCTGAGGAAAACATGGGATATTCAGAGAGATGTGAGCACTAGGGTGCCCTGGCTCCTGACCTCTGTCCCAGAATCCAACTATAGGTGTCCATGAGAAACATTTTTCTAAGTTTGGATTTTGACTTCCTTAGGTCAGGAACAGTTCTTTCTAGTAGTCAAAGCTTTTTGCCATGTGGAAGCAGCCAATGCTCTGTCATGAGAGACACACTTAGATACTAGGTGCCTGGGACATCTTCTCCTGAGACTCGCCATGGACAACGTAGCTCCTGGGGGGATCTTCAATGCCTCACATCACTTGGGGAGGGCCTTGAGCCTTCCACTTGTGTCTGGGCTGAAATATTATCCCACCATAGGGACTGAGCTTCCAAAACATTTTGTGCACTAGGGATAAACACTGTTTCCACTCTGTAAGAGCTCCTGCATGGTTGTTCAGGCCTTCTAACTGGCACCCACATTTAGAGGGCTTGGTCAGGTCCAATGCTGGCTTCCCAGCTGTGTGACAGGGGTCCCTGTGTTCTTGCTAGGTCAGGTCAGCTGTTTTTGTAGGTTTCTCCAGCACAATCTTGACTCCTTTGCTCATTACTCCTCCTCTCTACAACTGGATTCAGGAAATATGGCAGAGTGCTTAGTTGTGGATGTCTGTTTCTGCTTCCATCAGCTACTGGATGGAGGCTTTAGGATGGCATACAAGGTAGTCATCAATCTCATGATAGGGGAAGGGCATCAAAGGCAGCCTCTCCGTTACTGCCTAGAATCTTAGCTGATGTCATCTTTGTGGGTCTCTGAACATATCCCTAGTGCCAGATTTCTCTTTTAACCTATACTGGCTTCTTCTATTAAGGTTTCTCTTTTCTTTCTGTCCTCTATTCCTCCCCTGACTCAGTTTTTCTGATCCCACTTATTCTCCTCCCCTTAGGTTCTCCACTTCTCCTTTTCCTGCCTCCCTCCCTTCTCCCACCCATGCTCCCAATTTGCTCAGGAGTTCTTGTCCATTTCCCTTTTCCGGAGACCATGTGTTTCTTCCTTAGGGTCCTCTTCGTTTTCTAGTTTCTCTGGTGGTGTGGTTTGCTCTACGGCTAATATTCATATGTAGGTGAGTACACACCATGCCTGCCTTTCTGTGACTGGGTTACCTCACTCAGAATGGTTTATTCTATTTCCATCCATTTGCCTGTGAATTTCAAGACTTTATTGTTTTTTTCCACTAATTTTCCATTTTGTAAATGTACCACATTTTCTTCATCCATTATTCGATAAAGGTGTTGCTTCCAGGTTCTAGCTATTACAAACAAAGTGGCTATGAACATAGTTGAACACACTTCTTTGTTGTGTGAATGTGCATCCTTTGGGTATATGCCTAAGTGTGGAATTGCTGGATCTTGAGGTGGACTAGTTGCTATTTTCCTGAGAAATCACCATACTGTTTTCCAAAGTGGCCACATAAGTTTTCACTCCCACCAGCAATGGAGGAGTGTTCCCCTTTCTCCACATCCTCTCCAGTATAGTGTCACTGGTGTTTTTGATTGTAGCCATTCTGGCTGGTATAAGATGGTATCTCAGAGTTGTTTTGATCTGCATTTCCCTAATGGCTAAGGATGTTGAGTGACTTTCTTAAATGTCTTTCAGCCATTTTATATTGCTCTATTGAGAATTATCTATTTAGTTCTGAACCCCATTTTTTTCATTGGATTTTTTGTGTTTGGTGACTAGCTTCTTGAGTCTCTTTGTTATATTTTGGAAATCAGCCCTGTGTCAGATGCGGGGTTGGTGAAGATCAGTTTCTTATTCTGCGGGTTGTCATTTTGTCTAGTTGACTGTGTCCTTTGCCTTACAGAAGCTTCTCAGTTTTGGGAGGTCTAATTTATTAATTGTTGATATCAGTGTCTCATGCTACTGGTGTTATGTTCAGGAAGTGGTCTCCTGTAACAATGTGTTCAAGGTTTCTTCCCAATTTATCTTCTAAGAGGTTCATTGTGACTGGATTTACATTGAGGTCTTTGATCCATGTGGACTTTAGTTTGTGCATGGTAATAGATAAGGATCTACCTATGATCTTCTACATGACAGCATCCAGTTATGCCAGCACCATTTGATGAAGATGCTTTCTTTTTTCCATTGAATAATTTTAGTTTCTTTGTCAAAAATCAGGTGTTTGTAGATGTGTGGGTTTATATATGGGTTTTCAATTCAATTCCATTGGTCTACCTGTCTATTTTTGTGCGAATAACAAGTTTTTTACAAGACCAAAGCTCAATAATAGAGCTTGAAGTCAGGGACGGTGATGCCCTCAGAAGTTCTTTTGTTGTTTTGGCTATCCCTGAGTTTTTGTTTTTCCACATAAATTTTAGTATTGTTCTTTCAAGGTCTGTAAAGAATTTTGCCAGTATTTTGCCGGAATTGCGTTGAATCTGTATTTTGCTTTTTGGCAAGATTGCCATTTTTACTATGTTGATCCTACTCTATCTAAGAACATGGAAGATCTTTCCATTTTCTGGTATTTTCTTTAATTTCTTTCTTTAAAGACTCAAAGTTATTATTATACAGGTCTTTCCCTTGTTTGATTAGCATCACACCAAGATATTTTATGGTGTTTGTTGTTGTTGTAAAGGGTGTTGTTTCTCTTATTTCTTTCTTAGTCCATTTATCATCTGTATATAATAATGCTGATTTAGAGATAGTCTTGTATCCTGCTACATTGCTGAAGGTGTTTATCACATGTAAGAGTTCCTTCGTAGAATTTTTTGGGTGACTTATGGAACTTTATCATATCATCTGCTAATAATTAATGTTGGAATTCTTTCCTTTCCAATTTTTATCACCTTTACCTGTTTTTGGTGTCTTATTGCTCTAGCTTTAGAACTTCAAGTACAATACTAAAGAGATATGGAGAGAGTGGACATCCTTGTCTTGTTCTTGATTTTTTAGAGTAATCACATTGAGTTTCTATCCATTTAGTTTGATGTTGGCTGTTGTTTTGGTATATATGGTTTTTGTGATGTTTAGGTATGTCGCTGTTATCCCTGATCTCTAATTCCTATATTATTAATAGGGTGTTGGATTTTGTCAAAGTGTTTCTTCTAGCATCTAATGAGAAAATCAAGGGGATATTTCTCTTTCAGTTTGTTTGTGATGGTGGGTTAAATTGATGGATTTTTGTATGTTGAATCATCCCTGCATCCCTGGAATGAAGCCTACTTTGTCATGGTGGATGATTTTTCTGATGTGTTCTTGGATTCTGATTTGCTAGTTATTTATTGAGTATTATTGCATTAATGTTCATGAGGAAGATTGGTCTGTATTCTCTTTCTTATGTCTTTTTTGTAGTTTAGGTATCAAGGTAATTGTAGCCTCATAAAAGATTTTTGGCAATGGTCCTTCTGCTTCTACTTTGTGGAACACTTTTGAGGAGTAGTGGAATTAGATCTTCTTTGAATTGCTGGTAGAGTTCTGCACTGAAACCATCTGGCCCTGTTGTTTTCTTTTTCCTTGGGAGAGTTTTGATGACTGCTTCTCTTTATTTTTTTCCCCTTTTAAAATTCATCTCTTTTGATTAAGTTTTGTTTGAAGTCTAATTTTTTAGATATTTGGATTGCTACACCAGCTTGAATCTGTAGATTGCTTTTGATTAGACTGGTAAATGGCATTCTTAATTAGTCTAAATAATAAAACCAGGTGTCAAACATAGAGGAAATTGCTGCGAGATCATAGAGAAGAAGGAGCAGGCCAAAGTTACTTTTTCCTCACTAGCTTCCAAGTGGGAAAAAAGCATGCTCCTATTTCTTTCCACGTATATACTTTGTCCACCCAGGCATCTCACTTCCTGTCTCTGCCTAGCCATCTCACTTCCTGTTTCTGACCAGACATCTCACTTCCTGTCTATCTGTACAAGACTTCTTGACCTCTATGATTAAAGAGGGGCAAGCTCCAATCTCTGATCTTCAGACAAGCTTTATATGTTTAAGCCAGACATCACCACATTTTCCAGGCATCATTTCTTCAAAAATTATAGGACAAATCCAGGTTCTCACAATTCCATAGTCCCAGTGTACTAAAGGTAAAGAAAGCTTGAAGGTGAAGTCAGGTGTTGACTGGAATCACAAGAGGAAAGATCATAAACAACACAATGTCATCCAGCCAGGGTGTTATGGAAGTCATCTCCCCAACACCAATCTACATTGAATGTGAGCAGGAGTCTGAGGGTGGTGAACCGGGGTCATATTGATGTCTGAGGAGAGAGCACCATACATACGGAATCACAAGTCCAGGTACACGTAGGACATGGAACTTAGTAAATGACAGGAAGACACCCACTCAAGCACCTAAGCTAAGCTATGAACACACCTGCTCAGGACACAGGTCTTCACCTTAGCCAAACACAAAGGTCCAACTACTGACCGATCTCTGTCTTCCCTTCTAGCTTCTCATTGTGAGTGCCCATCCACCTGTGCCCAGCCCACTATTGAACCAGTAATACACAGCACTGCAGAAGGAGCAAGTGTTCTTCTAGTGGCTCACAGTATTCCAGAGAATCTTGAAGCCTTTTTATGGTACAAAGGAGCTATTGTGTCCAAGAACAGTGAGGTTGCCTGGCACCATGTAGCCAGCAGTACAACTGTATTTGGCCTTGGTCACAGTGGTAGAGAGATAGTGTACAGTAATGGATCCCTGCTGCTCCAGAACATCACCTGTAATGACACCGGATTCTACACCCTACGCACTCTGAATACAGATCAGAAAACTGAACTAGTACATGTGAAACTCCAGTTTGACAGTAAGTGATTCTTGTGATGATTCATTCCTGGATTGTATGTACACATAGAACTCACCCGTCTCAACTTTGAATACCTTTATTCGGTACTGTGTCCCATGATGGTGTTTGAGCACTTAGTACAGGACACACATTCTAGAGCCAAATAGCTATAGATCAGACTCTTGCCTTTACTGAAGTGTGTGTGTGTGTGTGTGTGTGTGTGTGTGATGGGAAAGGGTAAGTCAGTTCAAGTGAATTAGACTCTTTCTTGTCTTTTTTGTTCTCACCATGAACATGGTACTGAGAATGACCCTATTGTCATCCGGCATATCTTGGATTCTTCAGAGAGAGGTTAGCACCAGGAATCCCTGGCTCCAGACCTCTCTCCCAGCCTTGATTGCAAGTGGTCTTGGAGAGTATTTTTCCAGGTTTGGACTTTTACTTCCTTATGGAGCTGAGAGGGAACAACAGTTTTTTTTGGTGTTCTTATTTCATATCATGTACTTTTCTGAGAGCCACATTCAAGCTAGGTCACCTGGGTACCTCCTTCTGAGATTCAGCATGGAGGGCAGAGCTAGACAGTTGCCCAGGCTATCTGCCAAGTCCTCTGATGGACTTGTGACAATTCACAGGAAGACCATGTTCCCCAAGGTAAAGAACAGAGGACATATGTCCACTTGGTATGTACTTGTCCTGTGGGGTCCACCCTAGGGAATTCCCTCATGAAAACAAATAGAAACAAGCTCTGATGGTCTTTACATCTCCCAGACAGGAGTTACACTCAGCCTTTTGATCCCCAGGGGGGTGATTTCCTCACAGTCAAACCCTGAGTTGCTGGTTTCCTGGAGAAGATGAAAGAATCATATGTGATTTCCATTTCTGTCCCTCCCACAGATTAATCTGACCTACTGGTGCTTCATTTGTCTGAGAAGAGTACTATGCTCATGGACCATGTTCAATCTCCTTCCTTCTAGCATAGGGAAAGAAAGGGTGACCACAGGGAACTTACTTGTTCCTCATTGCATGATGTGCAGGACTGAAAAATAGATAGAGAACCTGACTGGGATACCAGCTAGGACTAAGAGTTGTAAGGACAGAGAATGCCCTTGGACCCCATTCCTGACAACATTCACATTAACCTCAGAAGTGCTCCTGCCTCTCAAGTGCAGAACTCAGAGAGTGGAAATCTGTACAGATTGAGGAAGTGCTGGAGGAAAAGCTGTTCTCCACAGAGGGAGGCAGAACACATGGCAGGCCCTGTGGAGGCCCGCTGTGCACTTCTCTGCAAACAGTGCAGCCCCTGGTAGTGTTTCCTGTTCACTGGAGAGGAGAACACTGTCTGATAGTTGAGGGGGAAAGGGATCTCAGAGCCTGCCTGGAGTCTTCTGGAGTAGAAGGATAGGAAGGGCTTCAATCTGGGTGCTGTTTCCTGCATTCAGACATCCACACAGGATGGCAAACACATGCTCATTCCCAAACATGTTCGTATCCACCAACACCCACACACCCACTCCACACACATGCATGAGTTAATGTAAGCTGGATCTGTGACCGGTGTCAGTAGCTCCACACAGGAGAATTTCATAAATACCTGGACATGAAAATCCAAGAACATTTGTTCTTTCATCCACCCACATGTATCTTAGCCTGTCCATGTGTCAGGCCTTCCTGAAAGATCAACCTAGTTTTTCTAATGAGACCCCAGCTTTAGAGGACTGGAAGACAGACTAGGAAGCCATCTCAGAGTGAAGTCATGGGTTGACTGCATACAGAGAGATAAGAGATCAAGGAGATCACAATGTGAAGACTGGGGATCTGTAGAGGAAGAAGTGAGGGAAGGCACCTCACCTCCACCTTTTCTGAGTGTGAGCAGGCATGTGAGAACATTGAGTGTGTAAACACATGAGGAGACTGTAAGATGTACTCTTCCTGCCTGTTGCCTGGTTCCTGTTGCTGCCTTCAGCCCGCAAATAACACACAAGACACTAAATTAATTTTGAAGCTGTTGATCATTTGCTTTTGTTACTCATTGGCTAGCTCTAACTTAATTATTGACTCATAATTACTAATACATACATACATACATATTTATAAGGTTTTATCTTACCGAGAATCCAGACATGTGTCCCCTCTTCCCAGGAATCACATGGTGATGACTCCCTTCACTACATTTCCTAGAATTCTCCTAGACTCCTAGTCCCACCTATGTTGCTTCCCTATTGGCCAACAGTGCTTTATTTACATATACACAGGACTTCCTCACCAGGAGACAGATCTCCACAGGAAGTGACACAGTCAGGTGCACAGAGGTCAGGGGGGTCATTTGCTACTTTCTCCCCCTGAATTTGACAGACATTCCCACCCACCTCATCTGAGTGGTTATACAAGTTTCACAATAATCAAGCTCCAGTTGTTCACCAAAGGTCTCAGTATTGATGCATTTGTCTCTCTTTCCTTTTACCCTTCCTTTTAGCCTGCAGGCTTCCTCCCAGTGCTGCTAAGCTCTCTATTGAATCAGAGCCACTCAATGTTGTTGAAGGGGAAAATGCTCTCCTGCTGGCTCACAATATTCCAGAGAAACTTCGAGCTTTTTCCTGGTCCAAAGAGATAGACATTGTCAACAGACTTAAAATTGCATCGAAGTTAACTGCTAAGAAAAGTTGGCTGGCACCCGCTTACAAGAATAAAGTGACCATGTACCCCAACATATCCCTGCTGTTCCACAACACCACCCAGGAGGACACTGGATTATACGTCCTACAAACCGTAAATAGAAAGTTTGAAGTTCAAGAGGCACATGTGTACCTCCACATATATAGTAAGTGATTCTTTGTGACCTCTGGGCTCTCGTGGGGGTCATTTCATTTTGCACACACAGGATTGACTGTGTGGGATTGATTGCGTCTCCTCTATACTATGTCTCCACATATGGGTTTGAGTACTTAGTACAGGACACACATTGGGTAGACATACTAAAAAAGACCATAGTCCCTCACCTGACTCCACCTATAGAGGAGGCTGTGTGGTGAGTAATTCAGCCCAAGGATGTCAGTCTGCCCCAGAATATTTGAGGTGCTCATCATGAATATGGCCTTGAGCAAGATGTCATGGGAATCAGGAATAGTCTATCATGAAAGCTCATGGTGAGATGAGCATCAGGCAGCTCTAGATCCAGACCTCTGTTCCAGACTCAACTCTGTTTACCCTGGAGAACTTGTGTCCAGGGCTAGAATTTGACTTCGTGTCAGAGCTGACTCGGAACAAGGCTTTAACTAACTGTTCAAGACCCACAGAGTGTGGAAACAACTGTGTACTGCCATGATTGCTGCAGTTAGCAAGGTCATTGGGGCATCTTCTACATCTGAATCTCAGTGGACAGTTGCCAGGAATAAGCCAACTCCTCTTATGGGCTTAGGAAACTTCAGAGGAAGGGGAGGGGCAGAGGAGACAGGTCTTCAGGGTATTCTTTGTCCTTAGGGGTTCAGCCTAATGAATACTCTCCTTTAGCTAAATGGTAAAAGATGCTGCTGATTTGGGTAGCTCCCCATCCAAAGATCAGACAATTGCTCACATCTAAGCTTAGCTTTGGGACCTGGCAACAATCATGCACTGTGTGCACTTGTGAAGGGAAATAGGGACCAGGATACACAGAGATTAAACCAGGGCCACACAGGCCATGGGTGACAGCTCTAAGCCACAGAAATCTGTGTATTGTCATAGCCTCGAATTCTCCACCCTGGAGGGTTTATTGAGTGTCCATTGACTACAGAGGGAGTGGTGGATACGTCTGAAGGGTTATTGTCATTTACACTCCCTCTTTTGCTTTATAGAGCCTGTGACACAGCCAATTCTCCGAGTCATCAGCACTACAGTTACAGAACAGAGCTCTGTAGTCCTCACCTGCCTCTCAGGTGATACTGGAGTCTCCTTCCATTGGATTTTCAATAATCACAGTCTGCAGCTCACAGAGAGGATGACACTGTCCCCAACAAAGTGCCGACTCTTCATCGATCCTTTCAGGAGGGAGGATGTTGGAGAGTATCAATGTGTGGTGTCCAACCCAGTCAGTTCAAAGACCAGTCTCCCACTCAACTTGGTCATGAAGAATGCGTGACTTCTCTCCTCTCATCCTACAGATTTGGGGCATTTCTTTACTGATCTGGTACAGCAACAAGAAAAGTTATGAGGTGGAAATGATCGGTCACCAATCACGTACAGCCAGCATGGTGACTCATGGCTGTAATCCTGGGATAAATGTGTGCACCAGGAAAGGCTTTCTAAAGGGAAAAGAAGAAATTAATACAGTGAACATAATTGCAAGATTTCAGAGCTTAGGTTGTGGATCCAACATATAGATAGTTCTCAGAATTCATGGAAGCCAATTTCGTGAGCCCCCCAAATTCTGGATGTTCTGATTCCCCTGTTAATATGGGGCAGTGTTTGCATGGAGATAAAGGCATCCTCTCATATGCTCAGATATATTGCTCTTTTAATTGAATCATATAAACCCAATTCTGCCTAGGCACCAGTCATACATATGATGCAAGAAAGAGTGACAGGAAAAGAGACTTCTCTGTTTCTTTGTACACATAACTGTTTACTAAACAGTATGGATGCTCTGTTTGAGGCACACATGTAAAAAACTATGGCAAAAGGCTGACATGCACTGTTTCTATCCAGAGATTGGCATTCATAGGGTGATATCCCACAAGATTACTTTTCTTGTTAACATTTTTTGAGACATACATGGGATTTCCCATTTGGCCATTTTGAAGTGGGAAAATAAGTGGGCCTGAACACATTTATCTTATCATGTGGCCATCAGCATTGTCTACTTTCAAATCTTTTTTAATCCAGTCCATTCCCTCCAGTCCTGTCCAACCCATCTATTTCTTTCTCTATGCATGTATCAAAAGAGGGCATCCAATTGTTTGTGGTCATTATTCATTTACAGAAGTACAGCTCAGGTGGGTTTGTTTGCTCAGCAGTTTCAGAAATTTCAGTAGAATTTTTAGGATTTTCTACAGATAAGCTTTGTCATCTGCAGACACATTTTACTGCTGACTGGCCACCTTTCATTTCTTTGTCTTTCCTAATTGCTCTGTCTAGGGAATACTGCACAGCAGTGTCCACAGCAGCATCCTTTGTCTATCCTGGATCTAGAGGGAAAGCTGTCAGCATCCCCACTCAGCACTGAGTTGGCTGGGTTTCCACATGTATGCCTAATGCACTGGCCTATCTTCTCACCCAGTTTGGCTGCTTTCAAAATTAAAAACTATTCACTTTGTCAAATGCCTTTACTGATTCATAATATCGAGGCTAGTTCTCCATCAGTTTTAACCACCAGGCTTCTTTACTGTGCTGTCTAGGTGAGGTTCAGGACCTGTTTCTTGTAGTGCTGTAGATGGTCAGGGGGAGGGTCGTCTCTCTCATTTGTTGAACACACGCGGCCACAGCAGCATCCTTGTGCTGATCCAGGTCTTAGACAGAATTTTCAGTGTCCCCACTGAATTCAGGTGTCTCTGTGTTTCCATGTGTGCCTCTACTGCACTGGAATAGTATTCTACTCCTAGTATGCCTCTTTTTATCCTTAACAACTGTTCGTTTTATGTGGGTGGAGATGGCATTCACCTTTAATTAGGCACCACTCGGGAGGCAGAAACAGGTAAATCTCTGTGAAGCTGAGGCCAGTCAGGACTACAAAGGGAGTCCCAGAGTGGCCAAGTTTATATGGAGAAACACTGTCTTGAGAAATAAAACAAAAAGAGTTTTCATTTTGTCAAGTCTCATTGGTTTTGTGTTTCTTCATACTTCTATCTCTGTATGTGCTGGGTTTCTTGGAAGGTGTCTGTTTTATCTGGGTCACTCAACAGTTAGCAAACAAGTATTGAGTAATCACGAAAGTCATAGAATTCTGAAATTGAACTGTAAGGTATCGAATTTCACTTATAATAGCAATAATGTTACTCTTTTAAAAACTTTTTTCTTCTGCAGCTTATGCAGATTGCCATGTCTATAATGACACTGTTCCCCGCTGCCTGAAATGCAAAACAGAGTGCAGCACAGCATTGCCGCACTCATCACCCCTTTTATATGTTCACAGATTACAAACATCTATCTTTACCAGCCACACTTAGGAATGTAGTTTAACACATGAACTCCCCCTCTCACTTCTTAGAAATTACAATCCCCTCCTCAATTTACCCCTTTGCCTCTTAAAAATGCCTGGGCATCTCACAAGTCATGTCCACTCTGAGCCACAAAGTAGGCTGAGAGTTATACCCTCTGTGTAGCACCTATCTGTTTTTATGACCCTAAGAAATGCAAGTCTTATTGCTCCTATTGCCAGAGAATCGCTGTGTGTGTGTGTGTGTGTTTGTGTGTATGTATGTATGTATGTATGTATACATGCAGAAAACTTTGCAGGTTGGCAGAACAATAAAGAAACTGATGTGGAAAAGCACATAGTGGATTATTTATTTCACTCTCAGAGTTTTCTAGTCCCCATGCTCGTCATAGCATTCTCCTTGAACCCTGAGTTTAATTGAGGCTGGTATTCTAGGGCCCTGATACATTCCTAGATCATGCTTAGATTCATGCTTCATCCTTTGGTAACCAGTGTCTCATGTCAGTCATGAACTATCTAAGAAGAACTGCCCATTTTATGGTCCAGCTGGCCCACTGAGTTGGAAGCAGGCCTGCTTCTGGCATCCTGGTGAGGTTTCTGTTCAGACATCAAGTCCTGAGGACAGGTTGTCAGAAAACTCAGGGAAGCAACAGGGAATTCTCATCACCACCTATCTTTAGGATAGCCTTAGACAGCAAAGTTCTGGAGGGCACTGGCCTAGGCTGAGCAGAGGTTGTCAGTGCATTTGGAGGGACACAGCACTCTGGGCTACACGGCCATCCTAGGTCTGTTTCCCATTAAGTTCTCTATCTCAGCTCACATGTAACAAAGTCTGTACTTCTTCCTCATAGCGCAGGAGGCCCCACCATCTCTGAGCACTTGGATACCATCCATCTGATTCACCTTACTTCATACTTTGGTCAGCAAGGAGGTGGTGAGAGGCCAACACTAGTCAAATTAGACCCTCCTAAGTGTCAGAGGTCCCAAACAGAGCCATATCTTCTCTGGTGTCTGTACAGCCTTGCTATATACAACCATAAGGAATTACTCCTCTCAGTGGCAGTCAACGACTAGGTAACATTAACATGTGAACCTTATTCTCAGTATATAACCTACTCTGTGATGTATAAATGGTCAGAGTCTCTCGTAAGGTATCAGAGTGAAGCTGTCAAGGATCAACAGACTATCACTTTTCTCAGTTTCATTAGGACTGGCACAGAAGGCCATGGGTGTGTAACTTGAGACTCAGTGAGTGTAACATAATGTGTCCCAGTCTACATAAATGTTACCTGTGAGTAACTTTTATTCCTTCATGGCAACAAATGTGTAATCACACGGGACCAGAGATAGACCCCTCAGTTCCTTTTGGTTTCATGACATGAAACCACCTATACTAACACTTTGGTTGGCCGAGTAGTTCTGTGCTTGCTCAAAAGCATCCATCCATCCAGGTCCCTGCAGGAGCCAAGTATGACATCGGGAACATGTGTTTGGCAAATCTCAGGGTTACCACATGATGGACAAATGTGACATCTCATACACAGGATCACTTAACACCTGCGTAGTTGAGGATGTTTCAGTATGTGTGATGCATTGGTGGTGGAATCTGGGCTATTATGCTTGGCTCAGAAAGACTGCCTACGGAAATACAATCCTAGCCTCAACTTGGTGATAGTTTTGGATGTTGACATGTCTCTCAGAGCTACTGTGGCCTTCTGAAGGTACAAACTTCTGTTTTTCTCTAGCGGTTCCACATTTGGATTTGTTCTGTTTACTCCATAAACATTCCACCTGCTAGACTATTCATTCAGGCATGTATTAGGGTTTTTATTTTGTTTATTTTGTAAATTAATTTTTATTTAAATTAAAAACAATCTTATTTTACACACCAATCTTTGTTACCTCTCAGTCTTGTCCTCCCATTTCCCCCACCAGCGCCCCCAGGCTATGCCTCCCCATCCACTCTCCAGGGATGGTAATGCCTCCCATGGGGGATCATCAAATAAGTCACCTCATTTGGGCCAGGAGCTAGGGACTCCTCCAAGTATCTAGGCTGAGAGAGTATCCCTCCGTAAGTAATGGGCTCAAAAAGCTTATTCATGCCCTGGGAATAAATACTCATCCCACTGACATAGGCCCTGTAGACTGCCTAGCCCCAACAACTGCAGGAGACATGGTTTGGTCTTATTCAGGTTCTCCAGTTGTCAGACTGGGATCTGTGAGCTCCCACTTGCTCAGGTCAACTGTTTCTGTGGGTCTCCCTCGCATGGTCTTAACCTGTTTGCTTATCACTCCTCCCTCTCTAAAATGGATTCCATTGTCTCAGGGTTTAGCTGGGAATCTCTGTTTCTCCTTCCATCAGCTACTAGATGAAGGCTCTATGGTGGCAATTAAGGTAGTCATCAATCTCATTATATGGGAAGGGCATTTAAAGTAGCCTCTCCACCACTACTTAGATTCTTAGTTGGGATCATCCTTGTGGATCCCTGGAGATTTCTCTAGTGCCAGATTTCTCGTAAAGCCTGTGATGGCTACCTCTATTTAGGTATTTATTTTTTTGCTCTCCTTCTATGCTCCTTCTCTACCTTGACATTCTTGATCCCTCTTATTGTCTTCCCACTCCCTTTCTCCTCTCCTCTTTCTTCTACCTCCTTACCCCTCCTTTATGCTCTCAATTTACTCAGGAGACCTTGTCCCTTTCTCCATTGCTGGAGTCCATATAAGTCTCTCTTAGGGTCTTCCATGTTTCCTCGCTTCTCTAGTGTTGTGGACTCTAGACTTTCCTTTGCTCTATGTCTAATATCCACTTATGAGAGAGTAAATACCATGCTTTTTTCTGTGTCTGGGTTACCTCACTCAGGATAGTTTTGTCTACTTCCATCCATTTGCCTTTAAATTTTAATGTTTCATTGTGTTTTTCTGGTGAGTAGTACTCCATCGCGTAGACATACCACATTTTCTTCATCCATTCTTCAGTGGAGGGCCATCTAGGTAGTTTCCAGGTTCTGGCTATTACAAATAATGCTGCTATGCACATAGATGAACAGATGTTTTTGTTGTATGAGTTTTCATCCTTTGGGTATATGCCTAAGAGTGGAATTGCTGGATCTTTTTTTAAAATTTTTCATTTTTTGAGAAGATAAGCAAGATAGACAGATTCTTGACCCAACTAACCAAAGGAAATAAAGAGGTGACCTAAATGAGCAGAATCAGAAAAGAACAGGAAATAATTACAATAGGCACCAAGTAAATTCAGACTTGTATAAAAGAATAATCTAAAAACCTATAGAACATTAAGTTGTAAAATCTAAAGGAAATGGACAAACATAATAGGAATTGCTG